ATCTCTTGTAATCTCTCATTTACTTGATACAGCTGTCGTGGCTGTGACGGTTCCACCTGAAGACGGAAGCTTGTGTTGCCTCCGAAACGTCGTGATTTTTATTTTATTAATTTTAATTTTTTACCTACGTGACTTTACCGAAAAAACCTAAGACTAGGGATAGTCTACCCACGGTAACAATGTAACGGCGAGACTCGGTGCTATACAAAGACACCACCACCGCTTTGGGGAGTGTGCGGCCCCCACCTTACGCCTCGCTGCGCCGTATACATCCGCAACCTCGCCACCGCGATGCGCCGTTTGCGCTCGCGTAACTCATGCGAACATTTACGCACTCACTACTGCATTGAAAATGTTACTGGTAGGAACCACCTGGTTCCACCAGCCCACAGGGGATTATTGTGTCCGTCCGTCGTGCAGGGAGGGGCTGGGTGGGTAGGGTGAGGCTGAGTGGGGGGAGGGTGAGGCTGGGTGGGGAGAGGGTGAGGCTGGGTGGGGGGTGGGAGGGGCTGGGTGGGGAGGGTTGGGAGGGGCTGGGTGGGGAGGGGCTGGGTGGGGAGGGTGGGGAGGGGCTGGGTGGGGAGGGGCTGGGTGGGGAGGGTGGGGGTGGGAGGGGTGGGGCTGGGTGGGGAGGGTGGGGCTGGGTGGGGAGGGTGGGGCTGGTCACCCCGTGGTGCCCTTATAAAACTCAACGTTTAACCTACTCACGCCAGCTTGTTCCCAGCCTCACAGTCGGGCATATTTGCGGAATACACCACGCCGCCGTTGACCCTGGCCATTGACCGAGCAACCCAACGTTCCTACCAGCTCCCTCCGCAGGAATGTGTTTAACATGATGTATGGGGAGCATTTCTGTAAAGTCGGATTTCTGTAAGTCGGGTATTCCGTAAGTCGGGTATTCCGTAACCCGGAGACTGCCTGTACATTCTTCACGTCACATCGGTTCTCGCACAGTAGGGGGCAGCACTTGCCCACGCACCCCGCCATACGAGAGTAATGTTGATCGCGTGACGGTCTGGAATTTAGCCAAATTAAGAGTATGAGCAAATTGAATGTGATTACAGGACGTAAATTTATTTTCTGCAGCCATTGGTTGACCGGACTGAGATCATTAATTCACTACACATTAGAACCTGGGTAAATACCTAACCAGTCTATACGAGCCTATGGGTATGTAATTATGTATACGAGACTGCGGGCAGCTGCGTTAGGGGCCATCCATTTAGTAGGTACGCAAACATCTGTCAAAACTTGACCCCTCCCACTCTCCCTGTACGCACGTGGACTTTTTACACCCCCCCCCCATCTGAGTACGTACGCTTGACGCACCCCCCCCCCCCCACCGAATCCTATTGAACGGCCGATATTTAATCCACGCAGAAACGATCAAGGATTAATCATATTCATGTGTTTAAGCAAACAGATAGTCTACCGCCGGCTGCATTAAATAATTAAGTTGCGTACCTTGGCCACTTATTTTGCTGAGCTGCGCGACAGCTGCAGTCAGGGCCACGGTGGCACACGAAGTGACACCTCTCCCACAGTCCCACTTCTCCCGGCAGTCCTTGTTGTCTGACAGCTGGAGACACTGAACTGTGGCTCATTTGAAGGCCAGTGTAGACAAATTGTTATCGAGGCTTCACTTCCCCACCGTTTCCTACGCGTACCTACATTGTCAGTAGACACCCCATACGCAAGCTACGCATTTGGGTTAACCCCCCCCCTCCCCCCTCAATGCGTACGGACTAAATGGATGGTCCCTTATGAGTCACGGGCGATTGATACAACAATTTTATCTCAGGATCTGCGATGCCTGGGCTCAGCGTTCTGACCTTAACAGAACCGATACTCTTCCTGAACACGATTTCACCAATTGTTTGGGTCAGATCGCGTGTCGTACAACCCTCCACCACCCGACACAGCGAAATTAATAAAGTTGTCACGTGACGGACAAACGTGGCGGCCAATTCATGACCGCTTCAGTTTAGCAAGCACCACCGGTGCTGTTGTTGGTAGAGCGATGCACACAACGTTTCACCCTCGTCCGAAACCATCGGAAAGATTTGACTTTTATCATTTCACCACATGGGAGTATCAGCTCTCTCTGTACTTAACGCACGTTTGAACGAGTGACTCGCCAAGTGATGTTGCCTCTATGTAGCATTGGTTGCACGTCTAACGCCTACAACACATCTTCTTGGAAGGGGGGAAAAAGGGGGGCGCCTTGACAAAAGAATATGCATATCAAGAGCATATTCTTTTGTCAAGGCGCTCCCTTTTTCTCCCCCTTCCAACCCAGCTTATATACATGCTCCAAGCACGTGTGCTGTTTCATTCAGACGCTGTCGCCTCGACAGACCTGGTTTTCACCTGAGGACGGCTACTTGCGTTGTGGCCGAAACGTCGTGAGAATTGTTTTATTATGTTTTATTTTTATTATATTATTACTTCCCTTCTACGTGACTTTACCGAAAGAACCAAGAAGATGAATCCCTGCAGTCACGAAAGCTTTAAATCGAAATTTATTTTATGTTTTATTTTTATTATTTTATTATTTTATTATTTCCCTTCTACGTGACTTTACCGAAAGCACCAAGAAGATGAATCCCTGCAGTCACGAAAGCTTTAAATCGAAATTTATTTTATAATGTTTTATTATTTCCCTTCTACGTGACTTTACCGAAAGAACCAAGAAGATGAATCCCCGCAGTCACGAAAGCTTTAAATCGAGATTTATTTTATAATGTTTTATTTTTATTATTTTATTATTTCCCTTCTACGTGACTTTACCGAAAGAACCAAGAAGATGAATCCCTGCAGTCACGAAAGCTTTAAATCGAAATTTATTTTATAATGTTTTATTTTCATTATTTTATTATTTCCCTTCTACGTGACTTTACCGAAAGAACCAAGAAGATGAATCCCTGCAGTCACGAAAGCTTTAAATCGAAATTTATTTTATGTTTTATTTTTATTATTTTATTATTTTATTATTTCCCTTCTACGTGACTTTACCGAAAGCACCAAGAAGATGAATCCCTGCAGTCACGAAAGCTTTAAATCGAAATTTATTTTATAATGTTTTATTATTTTATTATTTCCCTTCTACGTGACTTTACCGAAAGAACCAAGAAGATGAATCCCCGCAGTCACGAAAGCTTTAAATCGAGATTTATTTTATGTTTTATTTTTATTATTTTATTATTTCCCTTCTACGTGACTTTACCGAAAGAACCAAGAAGATGAATCCCTGCAGTCACGAAAGCTTTAAATCGAAATTTATTTTATAATGTTTTATTTTTATTATTTTATTATTTCCCTTCTACGCGACTTTACCGAAAGAACCAAGAAGATGAATCCCTGCAGTCACGAAAGCTTTAAATCGAGATTTATTTTATAATGTTTTATTTTTATTATTTTATTATTTCCCTTCTACGTGACTTTACCGAAAGAACCAAGAAGATGAATCCCTGCAGTCACGAAAGCTTTAAATCGAAATTTATTTTATAATGTTTTATTTTTATTATTTTATTATTTCCCTTCTACGCGACTTTACCGAAAGAACCAAGAAGATGAATCCCTGCAGTCACGAAAGCTTTAAATCGAGATTTATTTTATAATGTTTTATTTTTATTATTTTATTATTTCCCTTCTACGCGACTTTACCGAAAGAACCAAGAAGATGAATCCCCGCAGTCACGAAAGCTTTAAATCGAGATTTATTTTATGTTTTATTTTTATTATTTTATTATTTCCCTTCTACGTGACTTTACCGAAAGAACCAAGAAGATGAATCCCTGCAGTCACGAAAGCTTTAAATCGAAATTTATTTTATAATGTTTTATTTTTATTATTTTATTATTTCCTTTCTACGCGACTTTACCGAAAGAACCAAGAAGATGAATCCCTGCAGTCACGAAAGCTTTAAATCGAAGCCTACAACACACTATGAATACAGACCACGAATCAAGTAGCATTGTCGTGCGCACACACGTGGTTATGGTGGAGACACGTACATCCGCAGTGAACCACATTGCCGCAGCCAGCTGCAGTGCATGTTCTGTATCGATTTAGCCCAGGGGTCGGCAACCCTTCAAAGAAGTATTTTTTTTATCTTTGACCAAAATAGTTCGAGAGCCGCATGACACGCAGAGAAATAAATTCTGACTTTAATAAACAAAATAGGCGATGGAATAAACTGCGTCTATTTAGGGTTCCCACCCCCCCCTTTAGTTATTCGTTAAAGACACCGTTTTACTGTAGATTTTGTCGCCACCAAGACATTCCACGGTGACCAAATTCCCTGCCATATTTAATACATTAATTTTACGTTAAGTTACGTTTAAGATTTACGGGTTTTTTGTTGTTGTAAACGGCTGCCCACATAGGGGGCAGCCCAAAGAGCCGCAAGGGAGAGGCTCAGAGAGCCAGCATGCGGCTTTCGAGCCTGCAGGCTTGCCGAGCCCTGGTATAGCTGATGACTTGATATTTATTGATGCATCGATCCTCCCTGTAATGATCTGTCAGGTCACCAGCGTTGACTGGTTCAAGCGAGCCTGACTTCCCAACGCTCTGATTGAGAGCGACGCTGTAATGTCAAAAGCGGTCCAGACTTTTTTTTTCTTGCCGTTAAAACCAACGCCGCTTTGAATGATTATGCACTTACACGGAAGGCATGTGTCCGCTGATGGGATATGTAGAAACAAGGATAACAACATCTTCTTGGTTCTTTCGGTAAAGTCACGTAGAAGGGAAATAATAAAATGATAAAAATAAAACATAATAAAATAATTATCACGACGTTTCGGCCACAACGCAAGCAGCCGTCCTCAGGTGAAGACCAGGTCTGTCGGGGGAGACGCTGTCTCCCTGACAGAGGACGGCTGCTTGCGTTGTGGCCGAAACGTCGTGAGAATTATTTTATTATGTTTTATTTTTATTATTTCATTATGTTATATTTTTATTATTTTATTATTTCCCTTCTACGTGACTTTACCGAAAGAACCAAGAAGACGAATCCCTGCAGTCACGAAAGCTTTAAATCGAAAAAAGGATAACAACATCTAATGTGGAGGGAACAGGGGTGGAAAGTAGGGAGGCTAATTGAATGCTCGTGTTTTGGCCCTCGGCTCCAGCGCTGTCGATGAGTAACAAAAACAGGACTGCGAGCGAAGCACGCGGTCACGTCAATATTAGCCAATCAAAAATGAGGGAGGGGGGTGGACGTTTCACACGACGCTGTACTCACCAATGGGACTACTCGATCCGTGGATGAATGAATCGACGCAATGATTAAGCCTCGATGTTGAATCGATACTCAACGTGGCTCTAAGATGGACTGTGAGTGGAATCGATACTACAGAGACACCTCGAGTCGGGTTCTAACAACACGATATATGGGCAGAAGCACGTCTCGCTTACTTTCTTCCATATATGGGCAGAGGCACGCCCCCTGCAAGTGATTTAGATTTTTTTTTAATTCGGCAAATTTGAACCATCACCTGCCAGCACACGGCCTACAATACCGTTGCAATAATTTGTTGTTGAAATATATCAATCGAATAACCTCGCGTGACGGGGCGTGTAATGGTGGATAAATACGCGCGGCGCAGTATTTACCAGGGTGGCCGCCAGCTAGGGGGGTGGGGATAGGTGGGAGGGATGGGAGGTGGGGGGCAAGTTTCGAAACCACGAGTGGGGGAGAGGGGGGGCACAAAACTCTTCAGCGCAACTCGGCACGACCCCCCCCCCCATTTTTTTTTTACATGACGTGGCACTTGTGCTCGGCCACCGAGGTCTTGAGCTCATTGAAGGTCTCCTGGGCCTTCTCCTTGATGGTGTCGATGTCCATCTCCTGGAGGCTATGCAGGCGCCCCGCGAACGACTCCTTGTCCTCCTCCTCCTCCTCGTCCTGGCGAACCATGCGGGCGAGCTCGTCGGGCAGCTCCACGTCGTCGCCTGCCATCGTGATCTGAGCCTCGTCCTGCTCGCTCTGAGCCACGGATGTAGTCGGCGGAGAGGTGGGGAAGGTGCGTGGGGGGCAGAGGAGGTGAGCGGTGCAAGCTTGGGCGGAGTTTGCGTACCCATAGGCAGAGTTTGCGTACCCATAGGCGGAGTTTGCGTACCCATAGGCAGAGTTTGCGTACCTATAGACAGAGTTTGCGTACCCATAGGCAGAGTTTGCGTACCCATAGGCGGAGTTTGCGTACCCATAGGCGGAGGTTGCGTACCCATAGGCGGAGGTTGCGTACCTATAGGCGGAGTTTGCGTACCCATAGGCGGAGTTTGCGTACCCATAGGCGGAGTTTGCGTACCTATAGGCGGAGTTTGCGTACCCATAGGCAGAGTTTGCGTACCTATAGGCAGAGTTTGCGTACCCATAGGTGGAGTTTGCGTACCCATAGGCGGAGTTTGCATACCCATAGGCGGAGTTTGCGTACCCATAGGCGGAGTTTGCGTACCCATAGGCGGAGTTTGCGTACCCATAGGCGGAGTTTTCGTACCCATAGGCAGAGTTTGCGTACCCATAGGCGGAGTTTGCGTACCCATAGGCGGAGTTTGCGTACCCATAGGCGGAGTTTGCGTACCCATAGGTGGAGTTTGCGTACCCATAGGCGGAGTTTGCATACCCATAGGCGGAGTTTGCGTACCCATAGGCGGAGTTTGACTTCTATATTTGGGCGGGAGGGTGGGGGGGGGAGGTCGCTATTACATATACATATAATAAATGTATATGTAATGTTAATTGTAAACTACTGAAATTAAATTAAAGGTGATTAGTGCACGAACATGTAAGCAGACGAGGGAGTGAAGAGGTGGGGGAGGAGCTAACCTCGTCATCCAATGGGGGAGTTAAGGTGGTTGGAGACGTCGCGAAAGTGTTGGGATCAGGGCCGGATCATGGTCCCGTGAGGCCCCTAGGCACATGTCTTTTGGAGCCCCCCCCCCCCCGCCCCTGCTTTTCTATATTGGTGTCTTTCTTGCCTTCCTCCTCGCAAAATCATCCACTAGATCGTCAAAATCTCGCTGTCTGACAAGGTCTGACTCTATTGACACAAGTGACAATGAGCCGAGACGTGTTTGGCACATGCTACTCAGCAGCTCATTTTTTACTCTGCCTAAAAGGGAAAATGTCCGCTCACCCTGGCAGTTCGTCACTGGCAAAGTTAGAAAAATCCGAAGTGCCACGAAAACTTTGAGGAACACTGACTGCAGATTAGGTGCCTGCAACGTCTCAAGCAATTTAGTTGTGCACTTCTCACCCTCAGAGTCGGACATGAAATTCTTAAATTGGAGGAGTTCGTTGGCAAAGTTCATGTCCAGGTCTGATGGACATGCAGCAGAGAGTGCATTTGCCTTTTCCACTATGACATCACTTTTTTTCTTCTTCTTGGTTCTTTCAGTAAAGTCAAGACTTGGGCACTTCTCGGTAAAGTCAAGACTTTACCGAAAAAACCAAGAAGATGAATCCCTGCAGTCACGAAAGCTTTAAATCGAAATATGACATCACTGTTAGACACTTGATCTGATATAAGCACAACTCCAAAGAGACTGGTCAAACGCTTGAAAGCGTCCAAGCGATGTTCAAGGCATGCCACTAGCTTATCGATGACCACAGAAAATGTTTCTATTTTTAACTTCTCCCTCCCCTCAAGTGTCACGCCTGGCTCTGAGCTCTCATCTGCAAATGTTTTGCGTTTCCTCTTTCGCTGAAGATCGTGCTTATATGACTGAGAGACACCTGTCACATTTAAGGCTGCTCTTTCAAAAGCCTCAAACTCGTCTCGCTGTCCCACCACAAAATTTCTCAACGAAGACAAAATCTGTGCTGCTACAGAGATGTAACTTTTCTGTAGGTGCATGCTTGTAGCGTGGAACCGGTCAAGTATGACGTCCCAGAAATGTGCCATGAACACCATCTAGAAGGTGTCCAATTTAGCGCATAGTCCAGCGGCCTCAATTCGAGTCCAATAAAACCTTGGATTGCGAGCATAATTCGTTCTGGAAACGTGTTTGTAATCCAAAGCACTCGTATATCAGTTATGATCACGTGACGCTCGGCAGACAAAGCATATGCACGTACTACTCGTATTGCAAGACCTCGCTCGTTTATCAAATTAATATTTATTAAAAAAAATTGCTCGTCTTGCAAAACACTCTCAGACCAAGTTACTCGCAATCCAAGGTTTTACTGTATCTCTTTTCTCATTATCATCATTGCACATACCACTGAAGGCCTCTCTAATGTGGGTGTCATTTCTCCACAGTGCCTTGGTTGACTCTGCCTGAGCACTCCGAGTACTGGACAACGATTTGAATGTCAGTCTGACATCTGTCTTCCGAAAGACTTTCCCCCATCTAGATTTGAAGCTTTCGTGACTGCAAAGATTCATATTCTTAGGTTTTTTTCGGTTAAGTCACGTAAGTAAAACATCAAAATAAAAAAAAAATCACGACGTTTCGGAGGCAACACAAGTCTCCGTCATCAGGTGGGACCGTCACAGCCGAATTAGCTGCATCAAGTGAAGCATCTTGAATCATTGCTTCACTTGATGCAGCTAATTCGGCTGTGACGGTCCCACCTGATGATGGAGACTTGTGTTGCCTCCGAAACGTCGTGATTTTTTATTTTTTTATTTTTATTTTGATGTTTTACTTACGTGACTTAACCGAAAAAACCTAAGAATATTTCCCCCATCTGTGTGTGGATGAAGAGCAAAATGTGTACACTGACTGCAACATGTAAAAATACTCGTCAGCCGCCTCTGGGCTACTGCCGTCTAAGGTGTTAACACCAACTAAGTTAAGTGAATGCGCTGCTCAAGGCACAGACTCTATCAGAGGGTTTTTTTTGTTTCAGGTGGGCCTGTAGCCCATTGTATTTTCCTGACACGTTGCTTGCATTGTCATATGACTGACCTCCACAGTTTGAGAGGTCAAACTCAAGGCCCTCCACCATCAAAGTCACACAGCCTGCTAAACTCTTACCAGTGTAGCTCTCAATTGGTTCTAAGCCCAAACCGGAATATGAACTAATTCTAGATTTGAAGCTTTCGTGACTGCAAGGATTCATATTCTTAGGTTTTTTTGGTAAAGTCACGTAGGTAAAACATTAAAATTAATAAAAGTAAAATAAAATAAAAATCACGACGTTTCGGAGGCAACACAAGTCTCCGTCATCAGGTGGGACCGTCACAGCCAGATTTGCTGCATCAAGTGAGGCAATGATTCAAGATGTAATCCCTTAAATGCAAGTTGAGGGGGGAGGAGAGGGGGGGGGGAGCTCATCAGAATGTGGTAGCCAATGAATGGAACGTATCGGGAGGGAGGGGTGCGGGGCTCAAAGACGGCACGAAGTGCTACGTAGAACGTATCGGGAGGGGGAGGGGGGCGGAGCCAAAAGAATGCACGACGTGGTACACGAGAGTCGGCGGCGTGGACGTGGTTGTGCGCAAGCAACTAGTGCTGCACACGCCAACGTATTGGACAGAGAGGGGGAGTGGAGGCCAAAAGAGAGTGTGGGGTGCAAGTGTACGTGGACATGTGTGTGTACAAGCACCTGTTGATACACATGATAGAAAAGAACGAAAATGCTCATGTTTATACCAGTGCTGGCTGAACAATGAAGAGAGTACTGTTAAACACTGGGGATGTTAACACTCGGTAAAGTAAATTAAAATAGTGCCTGTCAGATAAGATGGTCCAAAAATGTGTAATTAAGTCTTTTTTTGCGTGGTTGATAACATCTTTCCAATGATTACTAAGTTTGTACCCATCATCACGGTTGAAATTATGTCTGTGTTTGTATATTTGTATGGCTTCGTGTACAAACCTTTGATGGTAGCCAGGAGGTTTGCAGAGAACCTTGGTCTCGGAAAAGACAATTTCATGAGAGCCCACCGAGTTGTAGCAATGATCGGCAACGGCCGAGGAATCAGTTCTGCCGTGTTTCAGATCTGACTTGTGCTCACGGACACGATCAGGAACATGACGTTTCGTTTCTCCAATGTAGCAATCACCACAAATGCAACTCAATTTGTAGACTCCAGGATACTGTAAGTCAGGAACGACATCCTTCACAGATGGAATCAGATCACGGATTTTATGCATTGTACTGAATCGGACTTGGATCTTATGTTTGTTTAGAATTTTGGAGATCTTTTTGGTCACGCCTGCTATGTATGGTAACGTCAATTGGTCCACGTGTGACAGGTCTGGGGTGGAGTCAACAATTATTGAAACATATTTGGCATCTCGAATCTAATCTGCTATTGTTTGGCGAGTTTTCTGACCCATTAGCTCAACGAGTTCTTCACATATTATCGATGATAAATAGGACACTGTGCCTCTTCATTTTCTGCCAAACTCTTCAATATGTTCAGCTAAGAATGGGTCAAATTGTGACAGCAATTCTAGGCTGCCAAGGAAATTACCGTGATGGGTTGACCCAAACCGTTCATCATCTCCCCTAAACGCAAGTCCTCTTTCACCAAAGAACTTGATCACTGTCGCCTCGACAGACCTGGTCTTCACCTGAGGACGGCTGCTTGCGTTGTGGCCGAAACTTCGTGAGAATTATTGTATTATGTTTTATTTTTATTATTTTATTACTTCCCTTCTACGTGACTTTACCGAAAGAACCAAGAAGATGAATCCCTGCAGTCACGAAAGCTTTAAATCGAAATTTAACTTGATCACTGCTACAACTCTTTTCAAAATGTCCCTCCAATATTTACGTTCACCATCAAGTTGCTGCATGCGATCTGCATCTATTGCACTGCCGTTTGTCCGCTGGTGCAAGGCAAGCATGCATGATCTGTGCTCTGCACTCTTTTCGTGTTCCCCTATTCTTTCAGAGTGTTTTCAGTCACTAAACCCCCGACTCAAGCCACCGAGCTCGCTGGAGAACAGTTTGCATGCAAAGCAGTGCATACAACTTGTTGAGGGTGAGTACAGTAGCCACTATCTAGAAACCTTCTGCCCATTTGGCAA